GTTGAGTATGCATGAGAGTTTGTCTGGAAAATGTTCAAATTTCTATAAAATTAATCCAGCTCATTAATTACTCATATTTTATTAAATGAAGCGGCTCACTCTGTGGCATATCTTGACCTACTTGAATACTCTACTAGAGTTGCGTGGATTGAGAGATGTCCGTTATCAGTAAAAGATTGATGTAATTATTGTTGTCGATTAGTGTTTGTATATTACAAGAGCTAAGCCTGAAAGCTAAAAATCTCAAAAGAAAATCTAAGATGAAAATTATAAGAGCTAAGCCTGAAAACTAAGACCGAGAGATGTCCGTTATTAGTGAAAGATGTGAATGTTGCCAATAAATATTTGCATATTTCAGAGAGCTAAGCCTGATGCTAAAAATCTCAAAAGAATCTAACGATGAAATTTATGAAAGGTAAGCCTGAAAGCTAAGAGTGAGATATGTCCGTTATCAGTAAAAGATGTGATTGTTGCGGATTATTGTTTGTATATGTGATACGTAATTAACAGTAATGTAACTTTCTTTTTAAGCCTTGAAAGAAAAATCTAAGGAATAATCACTCACTTGCTCTTGTCAATGCTAATTGTAGTATCTAAAGATGGACCCTACCATATATAGTGGTCTGTACATCAAGCAATTAAGATTTTAAAAAGTTGAATCACCGACACAATTATATGAAAAATCATCCACGAAAATGCAATAAAAAATATGCCCAACTCTATCGCTTAATCATTACTCAATTCTAGCTAGCTAAGCCTAGTAGGACTGTAGTAGATTAAGTTAGAACTTAAGTAGCAGATATATATAGTGCTGGCCGACTGGCCTTATCATGGAATCAAGGGCATAAGATTGTGTGTGATTGCAATGGAATTGTGCATGACATGATTATTATCATATCCATTGCACAAGTTTTCTTCGAACAACAAAACTTAATTTTAGAAAAGGCACTGAATAATTAAGCACTCGCCAATCCAACATAAATGTAGGTCATGTTATATATGGGGTGGTTCTCTAAAACTTGACGGTCATGCACGTACTCGTGTCTAACCCAACGAAAGATTGACTGTGTATTGTCCGAATCAAAGACACACCCTGGTTAGAAGTTAGGGTTTGATTCCTTACATAATATTTTTGGAAAATAACTTAGTTTTAATATAAATAAAAAAAGAAAATAAAAGAGGATAAGTTGTGAGAGGTAGGGAGAAGAAGTGGTGTACAACTAGGTGTGGGACAATGTTGTCTATAGAAGAAGGACGAAGACACGAGGGGTTCAATTCCATAGTTATATATAGTTGATACTACGTATATATAATAGCCAAATACACAAATACAAATACAAATACAAATCTTCAATATTAATGGAGATGTCTTTTTGTCAATAAAATTAATACAAAGTATTTAGTAATCTACTTCATAGAATCATAGATATCATGTACAGTGACCCTTACACCACCCTCCACCATATAAAACTTAATTCTAGTATAAATAATGATAATAGTGACTTTTCATTAGATCTGGATGCCTTTCGATCTCTAATTTTCAACCCTTTTGGACCACGCCTTCACATGTACTTGTATTTTTTTTTCTTCAATTCTATACCTATCCTGTTCTTTCTTTTTTTGGGTGCAGACTATCCTATTTTTAGTTTGTATATATTGATAATATTAATACTACTCGTACCGTCGTATGTAATAAATACAGAGTATATACCCGTAATATTAAAGTATTGCTATTTACTTGTATTTAATACGGGATAAAAATCTATCAATAATATAATATTTTTGTAATTTTAATCAGTTTTTTTATTTTTTCAAAGTTACGAAATATTATAAAAGTTAATCCTCAAACATTACCAAAAAGGAAAAAATTTGTTGTATTTACTGATTTCTAATACAATAGTATTGCATGCTAAATTGTACAAAGGTGTACTTAAAGGAAAACTGTCCAAATTAAACATTGTTGTTGTTTTGAATAAATTGATTTAGGCTCTCATATACTACCTATCCGTTACATATTAATTGCAACAAAGTAATTTTTTATGACTCGCAGCTCACAAATAATACCTCTTTGTTACAATTAATATGAAACGGAGGTAGTATTATTTGCTTAATAAGTTTTGATTATGTTCATCTTCATATGGATAATAACGATTAATCAAGTTCTATTTACAACTATGTACAAACGTACTTAAATAAGTTGTGATATGTAAGGGAAACTCTAGTAGTCTTGGGCATTCCTTTTAAAGAGCTTATTTAATTTGAAATGTCTCAAAAGGGGTTTAGCAACTTATTATAAACGTGGTTGTACCTTTACATGGATGAAATTTAGCTTGAGGGTCGAATTTTACTCCTTAGCTTTGGGACTCAAGTCTTATCTTGCATTTTTGATGTCCTTGTTTACTCTCAATTTTGAAAACTCTAAAATTGACACCTTTGAAATGGAAATTTTCTTGAAGAACTTTTTTGAAGGAATTCTTGAAGAATATAGACCCTTTTTAGTATTAGATACTTGCATAGTTGGATTAGCCTTGTCAACTCAATTCTCCCTACATATAAACATGGACAAAATTCTTAAATATTAGCTATCGTACATGAGTAGGACCTAATATTTAAATGCATGTACATAATATGGATTAATATCCCTCTAGTGTATGTTTTTTTTTTTGAAAGACCCTCTAGTTTATATTTAAACCTTTATGCACAAATTTCAATAATACCTATATTTAATCATCAATATATCTTCAAATACGGAGTACATTACTTAACATATTATAAAGAGTAACTCCACTATATAAAAAGACAATGAGTTGAAATTACACAATCAAATAAAATCTCGTATGAATATGTTTTCTTTGTAGAAGTTATCAAAGATCCTTCGTAAAAGTGTCTCACATGTCAAATTGAAACTTTTAAACAAAAAGGAATTGAGAAAGTGCATTAGTTGTACAGTATAGTTCCCAGAACAAGTATAGAATATATACTCTTCAATTATGGATGGGGTTGATCAATAATTCAGCATCTTAATCTGATTGCTCTTAGTGAAGCTGATTGGAGGGGGCGCTGTACTTAAAAAGATTCCAATGCTACTTTAACCACTCCTACATGCTATAATAATTTAAGTCACTAAGATGGTGACTTAGCTAGCCTGAAATTATTAATCGTTAGTTGTTTATATACATTAATGAATTGACTGCTTATAATAAAGCTAAAATAGATGCAATATTATTGTACTTAATTTGTACATACTACAGAATACAGATTATTGATCAGATTTTGAAGGTTCTTTTAGATGCGATGTTGTTTGTACTTTGCTGTTTAAAGTCTTTAAACTTGTGATTGCCAACCTGTGTACATGATGTTTTGGAATGTAACACATCTTCATTTTTAGTTGAAGTGGAGTCTAATTATCCATGTGCTTGTGACTGAAGGAACTAGTTGCTTGTAATCAACGTAAAACAATAAAGAGTATTGCTATACTTTAAAATATCCAATGATTCAATCTGCGTGTCTTTAAAGATATCGAAATAATATTAATTGATGTTAATATGAAAGGTCCATGATCAGTGGCTCATGGTTCGTCTGAACTAGATTAAGGTTGTGTGGGTTCAAATTGACCCGATCAATAGGCAACCACAGACCTCTTTTTGCTAAAACATGAGTATTTGGGATAAAAGGCCTAATTGGATGATAACGAAATACTTTATACTTTAGGAAGTGATTAATGCTACAAATACCATCTATTTCTCTTTCAAAGTAGTACTCGTACTACTTACTATGTAACAATTGTCATGCCTTTTTAACTTGTGAATTGGGATACAATAAGAATCTGTTTGAATTATTATCATCCTCTTATTATTCCAATTAATATGAATTATCAACAACAAATGACATCACATAGAAAGGCCACTTGGAAGACCCACAGATGATATAATAGATCCCTATCTTTAGATTCTGATTTTTATAACACGAAAATTATAAATGAATTGGTTTTTAGTTTGAAAATTCAAATAAAACATAAACACGTAACACCGTGTCATATCAACCACATATCATAATTGGATCAGAAATCAATTTTGCTTCGTTGCGTATGTAGTGATCTAGATGCTTGTAGATTGGGATAATAATTGGGCGGACTCCTTCATCCGCTTCAAATTAAATAAAATGGTTTGATAATCAAGCTTGTCGATATACAATTTAAAAATTTAAGAATTTTATTAGTAAGAGTTTATAAAATTTTAAAATCCGTTAATATTTTTTTTTATAAGGTAAAAAGAATTGGCTTACCGAGGAAAGGTTTATCACCCTCAGCGTGCCCTCGGTAGAGGTTGATCCCCATTTTACAATCTCAAAGTTGAAAGGTATTTTCTGTACTGATATGCCAACATTTAGTTGATACTCCTATACTATATGTTAATAAAATAATATAGTGAGAGAAATGTAAAGAAAAATTTAGATTATAGGTATTAAATATCACCCTTAAAACTTTAATAGAGTAAAATACTAGATGAAATTCACGTTGTTGTATTTAACTTCAATGAGGGAGTATTTGAATTTGAAATGGTGGCTCCAGAATGTACAACGCCCATTTTATGTCATGGGCCACACAATTGAATTGGACCTTATCTTTTTGTGTGACAATGTGACATAGATCTAAAGATGACGGCTCAATCTGAATATGGGTCGTTTGCCATCTTTTCTACTATGGTACCAAACTATCAAATTTGTAGTTTTGATTTGCTAATCTGTATTTTTTTTCTAGAGAAGGTATTAGGTGCGGAGTATTGCACGAAAATTTGCGTGTGATATGCTTGGCCGATACATTTCACTTGTTGGTTGATATGCTTCATTTGTTGGCTGATGTTTTTTTTTTTTTTTTGGATATGTTCCTTTTGTTGACTGCAATCAGATATCAGTTGGCTGATATGTTTCTTTAGTTGGCTGATATTTTTATTTTGTTAGCTGATATGAATATTTTAATTGTTAGCTTATATGTTTCATTTTGTTGGCTGATATGTCTATTTTGTTGGCTTACATGTTGCTTTTGTTTGCTGATTTCATCCTTTTGTTGGCTGATAAGTACCTTTTGTTGGCAGATAAGTACCTTTTGTTGGCTGATATATTCCTCTTGTTGACTAATATGTATCTTTTGTTGGCTAATATATTCCTTTTGTTGACTGATACGTTTTTATTAATGACTGTTATGTCCTTAATGTTGACCGATATCAGACATCAAATGGCTGATATGTCAATTTTAATGGCTGATATGCATCATTGGCTAATATATTTTTATTTCCTTCTCACTTTCTCTCTACTCCTAACTCTTCTTCACAAAATTATGAGGAAAATCATATAAGCCAACTAGCCAAGAGCCCAAGATCAGCCAAGATTTCTTCCTCTCTCTTCTAATCCTGTCATCACCAAGGCACCAACACAACCACCACAGCACCACCACACTCTCTCTCCTTCTTGCCGCCCCACCCACCACCAACACAACCATGCACCATCGCACTCTTTCTCCTTCCTACCCAGCCCCCACCCACCACCAACACAACCGCCACCACACTCTTTCTTCTTCCTGCCGCAGCCACGCCGGAGCCCAGCCCAACCATGCAAACCAACAGCGATTCGCACCCAGGCGGAGTGCCCAACCATGAAAACAACAGCGATTCGCACTCGCCTCCACCAGCAGCGATTCGCACTCGCCTCCACCACCAACGAACGCCCCCACCACCAGCGAACGCCTCTTCCTCCGCCATAACCTCCGCATCCATCATCTTCTTTCAAACCGAGTAAATCATCAATTTCAATTCAATAGCAAATTTCGAAACAATACCCCCTTGGATTAATTATGATTGTTTTATGCAAATGATGTTAATTTTTTATTTTGATTTTAATTGGAAAAAAGGAGGAGCAGAGGAGAGGGAAATAGAAGGGAAGAGAAGAAGGAGAGAGAAAGAGAAGGGAAAAGAAAACGGCTTGCCGCTTAAACAGTTGGGTGCGGGCGTGCGGCAAGTTTGTGTTTTTTCTATGGTACTAAATACTTTTTTCATAATTTTTAATTTTGATGCAATTATCTTTAAGTTTATGAATGTAAAACTAAAGACACACATATAATACAAATACAAGCAAATTGACATTTAATAATATCACATGATGTGAAGTTTTATTATAAATATCCAACTTATGGATGTTGACTAATCTAATTGGTTAAAAACCTAAAGTTTTGGAGTAGTATTTAGATCTATCTATGAGTCTATGACTATGTCATTTAAATTTTTTTGCCTTTGCCTAAGCATAAAAAAAAAAAACCATAAATCCTTGAGTTCCAAATTGATACACAATATAACAATACCAATTTATGAAAAAAATTAAATAAGGTAGTCAATTAGAACTAACCCCCACATAGAAAGTTTAACAACGCTCAATTAATATGACTTAGGTGAAAAAATATACACACGTGTATTCGGTCAATCAATCAACACCTATAAATTTTTCTTTTGCGTTGGGAATTATCCAAGTCTACTACAATACGTTTAGATAGTCTATATAACCAATCAATTGTATATGTCAAAGCTTTTACATATGAACAAGGGGAATGACGTAGTAACCTAATGGTAAGCATAACTATTCGTTACTTCCTATTATTTTTACCAAGTTTTAATCATTGAGAAATAGAGCTGATCAAAGATGGCCCGTCTTGAATTTGGCCGGGTTTTGGGCAGCTTTTTTCGACCGGCCCAGTTTTAATTTTTTTGGACGGACTTGGGAATGCATTTTAGAGCTATTTTAGTTCTTTTTTTTGGCCTGGCCCGAAAATGGCCCTAGAAGCCCGCACGACCCGGCCGTTTTAGGCGGGTATGAGCATGGAATTTTTGCCCGAAACTAGGCCCGACCCACCCCGAGGGATGGGCTATTTTTTAATCCTTGGCCCGCCCATTGGGTCTATCAAGAAAGCCTTGTCCAAAGCTATGGGCCGGCCCAACACTTGAACTTAAAGAGTTTGGGCTTTGTCCAAAGCTCAAAGTAGCTCCATTTCGAAACCAATAACAACCATATGAAAATATTAATTCAAGTAAGCCTTCAAGGCAAGTGATTCAAGAATTAGATAGAGTTTATTCAAGCTTAATATCAAGGCAAGTGGTTGTTCTTTTGCAATCACGAAACCTACATCTAGTCTAATCCAAGCCTCCTAGTAACCTAGCTCATCCTGGTTTCAAAAAGAAAAAAAAAAAGAAAAAAAAAAAAAAAGTAACCTAGCTCATCCTGAATTCGATTACTATTTTATCCTCAAACTTAATTTCATACGCAATCAAACAAGCATAAGAACAAATAAACATGTTAAATAAAACACAAACGATTGAATTTTAAAATCCCTTTAAAGCAAACATGTTAGATAAAACTAACACAAACGACACATTAGTAAGAAATCATATATTGTGGAAATAGAATGATAATGAATTTGCGTGTAGATTAGTAATAAAAGTCATGTTCATTATTAAGCTAAGGCTATTAAATTGTATAGTGAAACACGTGTTTTCCTTCAAAACATTTCATATCATTCGAGATCACCTCTCGAGTGATTGGAATGTAAAGAAAATTAGCGAACAAAATGAGATAATGAGTATGCACTCACATTACTATGGATCATGACATAAGATAATCTTTAAAAATTTATACGAAAACTCATTACCATTGATTTATGATTCCTTACAATATCGATTGTAAAATCATAATCACCATTATTAGAAAGAAACGAATAATAATACTCCGTACTTAGGAATTCTATAATAATGCAATTAGGCAAACGAAATGTTCCAATCGTACACACCACATTCTAGAGTTTCAATTTTACAATATCTATAAATTCCCTATGATTAAACTAAATGAGTATAGTACAAAATATGGTGTGCAATCATGTTATGTTATCCAAATATGCTTAGAATTAACCACTGTCGTGTCGTTTGTTGCTTCTTCTTCATCTTCTCGTGTCAACGTAGTTTGCTACCTAGCCACATCGTATGCCATGTGTCGTCCGAATATGGCTAGTTCATAGCTTAATAAGGTATTGGCCATGGGTACTAATGGATATTTTTTATTATTCATGCCAATTTTCTATGCCACACGGCCCACACATGAAATTAGAAATGATTTTTGGGTACTCAATTATTAATGAACTAGCTTATGGTCTCGTGCAATGTACGGATTTAAATTTTATAAAAGTTTGTATCTCAACAAATTTTTATAATTTTTTTCTATTTATAAATAGTATGACAAAGGTTAATATTCTTTAAAAAAATGCTTCGTAGTAAACTTTAAGTTGTACATACCCATATGGCCGTATGATATATATACACTCCGTACAAATTTATACTATATTAAAAATTGTGCATATCTTTTTTAATAATAATATTTTGCTTAAATTTTCTATAAGTTGTTACAAAATTGTTTTATTGAATTTGAGAGGGAAAATTACCTTATATAAAATATATGGAAGATTTTATTTTATATATATATATATATATATTGTAGGAAAATATTATACAAGTAGTGAATTAAAAATTTCCTAAGATAATTTGACAAAAAAGTAAATAAAAAATTGGCAGGAAATTATTTAACCAAATTTTTCCATGTGTCATTTTATATTTGCCTTTAGTATATAGTTATTATTGATGGACGAAGTATATTAAATCTATTTTCGGAAAAATAATGCAGCGGAACGAATCAAAACAATGCATCACTCTCATCAATACGGAGTAATAAAATGACCAGTGTTTACAACTTTAGCCATAAGAACTATTGATTTCAATATGGGCAAGATGATGATGTTGATTTTGAAGAACCTTTAATTTAAATTTAAGTTTGACAAAAGTACAAGATGGTGTTCCATGCCGTAAATTTTAGAATTCATGTGGTGAGTTATTTTCATTTGAAATACACTAGCTTTTATCTCAACTTATTAGATTCCTACGATAATATGGTTATCGGAAGATTCACCTAATATAAAATAACTAGGTTAAGTCCCGTGTCATATACAGTAATTAATTTTTACTAATTATCATATATAATTCAATATAAAATGAATATTTAATTGCAAAATAAGATGAAAATTTTAAAATTACAAAATAAAAAATTATTATACTATTGTTCTAAAGAAAACCAAGAGAGAATTACATGGACTAATAAAAATAATTATTTTTTACATCATAAAGTTATAGATAGGAATATATATTATTGCATAATATTAAATAAAAGAATAAAAATTTTATTGAACGGTGTCTAAATGAAATATACATACCATATAGAAAGAAAATATTATTGTAGATCGAGTATTAAATATTCTAAAAAGTTTTGGAAAATTAAAAAAAAACCCTAAATATTTTGGAGATTTTTTTTTTAACCAGGACATGACACGTGTCATTCCTAATTTCACCTTTAGTATAAAGATTAAATAGATGTGAAATGGGTTAAAATTTGGATGGATGTAACAACAAGGTGAATAAGGTAAGAACGAGAGTGTAAATCTATTAATTAACCTATAATAAAAGCAAATCCTTTCACGACACTTGTCATCATTACCTTGTCAAAACTTTTCCCGTTTTTTTTTTTTTTTTTTTTTTTGCAAAATTTTTAAGTAAACCATTTATACCTAGTGATATTTTTTTTCCAGTTTGACAATCATATTCCACATATACCGAAATATTTCTGAATATCTTTTATATACTTTATGTAGTATTTTTGTAATATTATTGTGAAAAATATTTAACAACCGTGCATTGCACGGGATTTTAACCTAGTAAAATCAATATAAAGAAATTAATTAACAAAATAAATATTATTGAGTAAAGGCGGTCGGGTAAAATCTTAAAAAAAGTTTAACTTGCTAAAAAAGGTAATAAAACAAATATGTTGAGAATATTATAAAACGGACTTAATTAAACTATAACATTATAAAACGGAGTACTATATAAATCGAACAAAAATGAAATATTATGTGTATTAGAACATTATAAAATAGAGGTAATAATAAGTTAAAAAAAGAAAGAGTAAAAAGAAAGGCAAAAGAGAAAAAGAAAAGGCAATTAAAATCAATGGGCAAAGTGAGACACAGTTAACAGATAAACAAACATTAAAAAAATACAGAGGATAAAAGAGAGAGAGAGAACATACAAGAAGAAGAAGTAATGGTTATGTCGAAAACCGCAATCCCATATTTTCAACCTTCTGCCTCTTCAAAGCGACGCAAAAAAAAGCTTAAAATTCAACCCATTTCACTTTACCAGTTCTTACTTCTATCTCTTTCTTTTTAATTTCATCTTTTCTTTCATTTCAATTCAAATTTATTTTTTAATTTGTTGCTGATTTTCATGGATTTTTTAGTTTGATTAAAATTGGCTTCCTATTTTGGTGCGTATGTATTTGGGTTTTTTCTATTCTTTGATTTTTTTTATACGGATTGTTTAGTTTTTATGTGATCATTTTGATTTGTTTGATGATTTAAAGTTTAAATTGGGTTGATTGTTCTTGGTAATTTAATTTGAGATTTTTTTGTTTATTTCTTGAATTGATTAAAGCTTATCTGATTGCCAGGAGCTGTAATAAGCTGTGAATAATTGCTGTCTTGGTTAAGTTAGTCTTGCAAATTTATTACCATGTTATTTTTGTTGTTATTGTTATCTTTTAATGTTACATTATTGATGGGCTGTTTTTATGTAATAATATTTTCTTCTTGTTATTAATATATGAAATTGGAGTTTATTGGATTGTATTGCATTTGATTTTTGATTATGTGGCGAATTCGTAATTATGTTATAGACTGAAAGAGCCTAATTTCTGAGGTGTATGCGGTTTTAACTTTTGTAGCTTCTGTATAATGTTTGGTTTATTGGGGTTGCTTGAACTTTCATTGAATTTGAGGGTCCATTATTATGCGCGATTTTTAAAGTATTGTGATACATTTGCAGGTACAAATGCCCATGGTTTGTGTAAGCTCCATTGCTTAAGGTCTTTGAGGTGATAATGATTTGGACTTTAATTTATGGTCGGATGGTTAGGTTGCATTGGACTTCTATGTGCCGTTGTTTGTTGATTTATGGTTGAAGACTTAAGGGTGGTAATTGTATGAATGTTTAGTTTTTGGATAACCGATAAAATGGAATTCAATTCGTTAGGGTGGCTTGAGGTATCTAAAGGGTTGCTCATTTGGAAAATTAAGCGATGATTGAATTAATGGACCACTGCGATAGATAGTAGAGGAACTTGAAGATTGAACCTTCATTTGGATATTTTTATTTTATTTTTGTAGTAGTACTAGTAACCTTCACAATGGGTTTGCCTCAAGTATCCTCTAGTGGGTCTAATGAGGAACGTCTGGCACAATTGAGCCAGCTTACCCATTATAGTAGTGTGAGCACATGTAACCGGGATGGATTGTGTGGGGAACATGTAAGCTCAATATGTGGGAATTCGGAAATATCTCCAACAGGAGGATTCTCTAAGAATGGAGAAAAGGGTGTAGGTACTTCTGATGACTCCTTAATGCAAAGAAGGAATAGTGATATCGTGCTTTATGTTCCCAGAGTGAAATTTGGGCGGGAGGGTGTTGGTTGCTGCAATGCTAAGCAGGAGGTGGATGTTACTCCTGTTTCTAGGATTGTAGGATTTCAAGCAAATGAAACTGTACGATGTGATGAATTGAGTAACAGTAGTTCTTCTGATGAAGTTGATCGTGCTGTGAATGATACTGGATCAAGTGGTGTAACACTTCGAAAGCGAATGTTGTCACCCTTGAGCCAATTGATGATCCCTGATAACTGCAAACGTGATGTTTTAAACCTGGGATATGGGATGCTGTCTCCCGTCAATACTGAGAAAACATGTAGTGCTGGGACACAAGACCGTAAAATAGATAATTCTGAATTGAAGGATCAATTGAATACCTCAATCTCGTCGTTCTCTTACTGCAGAGAGCGGATAAATGCATCTTATGTAGGTGGTAGAAAGGCCTCATACATTTTGGTCGACGGCCCATCACCACTAGACCAGGAATCATCTGATGTTTTTTTATCCTCTAATGGACTTAGTAAACTGGAAAATTCTAGCGTAGTAAGAAGTTATGCTGGGGGTAACTTTTTATGCATGGAAAGAATGACCTCCCGTTCCCTTCCATCTTCTCCACTTGGTCAGAGATCTTGTGATAGGATGGAAACTGCAGATGGGTTTAGGACTATTAGAA